AAATACCCAATGCAGTACAGGAGATATTTTAAACCATTTATAGCGGTCCTAGGTATGCTCTTTTGTCCCCGACTGTACATCGGGTCGTTCTACGGCTCGATGTTCCAGACAGAAGAAGAAGTTCTCTTTCAAAACTAAATTAAATAGTGTCCTTTTTTCCGCAGCTTCGTCTGTGACTTCAGCAGGCAGTGGGTCGTCCGGCGCCAGCCACTCTCCTATCGACCAAATCAGAGGTACCTAATGCATATACGGGGTGTTAGGGACGGTGTAACGAAAACTCTGCAGGCGTGCTCAGACCATGAAACTGAACAACTTTTACTATGGAGCCAATGGTGGGAAACGAAAAAAAAATTCCGACCTCCCATACAAAGTCAGTCAGCTGATCGTGAATTTTGTATGGAAGGTCGGAATTTTTTTTTCGTTTCCCACCATTGGTTCCATAGTAAAAGTTGTTCAGTTTGATGGTCTGATCATGCCTGCAAAGTTTTCGGTACACCGTCCCTAACACCCTGTATATGTTACAGGTTGTCCAACTTTACCCTTTACCCTCTAGAGCCATGTCACTGTAGCCTTAACCATTTTTAACTACGCCAAACCAGTTTATCCTGAAGTGTAATTATTAATTTTAGGCTCAACTAGTTCAGCCTAGGATTAACTGAAAGTGAAAGTGAAAGTGAAAGTGAAAGTTTTTTATTCAAAATAGGATATTAAAATATCACTTATTGATAGTCATTACATTACGCAGAAATGGATTAGGCATTGTAAAAAAGAGAAATTTGCAAAGCACAATTTTCTCTTTTTTATAACAATTTTTATTCCTACTATAAACGCGGCTCGGGCCAGTTTCTCCTATCGGCCATCGGACGGACCGGTTTAGCCTAGTCTATACCGGTTTATCCAACCGCATGTAGGATAAACTACTTTGGCCTAGGAAAAACTAGTTTATCCTAAAATCGGGTTTGGCCGGTAACATATACATACATAAATCTCGTTTACGCATTTATCCCTTGCGGGGTAGGCAGAGCGTCAACGGCAGTAAAAATGCGGTAGTTATCGCCACGTCTGACAAATATTTGACGGCCGTTTTAGCTATTGTCGTGTATCGTTATGAATGCAATACTGTTTGTGAGGTTGTTGTGAGGTAATGTTGCATTATTTTATGGGAGTTACTTTCATTAGGAAATTGGGACAAGGGCAGGTAGGTATTTATATATAGGGTGAAATTTTACTAGTGACCGATAGCGAAAACTCAGAACCGGCTGGTGATAAGGAATAACTTTCCCCAAGGAACATAGGTCGAAATCCGAAAAAAAATTTTTGGCCTCCCATAGTAATTCAAATCAGCTGATCACAGAAGAAAGGGAATATAAATGGCGGCCGGTGGTCATGCTTTCTCATCGCACTAAGGCTCTTGCATACACCAGGGGTTCATGCTTTCTCCCTCCCTCTTATGGAACCGCCGCCATTTTTATAGGTAGTAGATGATGGAACCTCATAGTCTGCTTTTAACCATGTAAAATTGATCTTCTGAAAAGTCATTGATTAGCTAAGTGGGAAAAACCACTATTAAACTGCCATATTTTCAGTAGGTAGATAAGATTCGGATGTCATTATAATCACCTGTTTGCTCGTGCCCCCAGTAAGGTTAGATAACGTGACAAATAATGAGATAGTCGCACACGTTGCAGTACACGCCCCACACACGCCCTCGTTTTGATTGACTATCTGCTAAGCAACAGCAAAACCTCTCCTGTCCTAAGTTCTAACTCAGTACCTACCTACACGAAACCATAGTCTAATAAAACATGGTCTTTCCTTCCCAGAGAAACACAAGTCAACGTCACCTAGTATTGCCACTTTATTTCAATAAAATACGTTATGGGGTAAATTCAATCTCAGAACAATGGGTTAAAATATTTCTTAATCATTTATAATTTAGATTTACGTGTGTATTAACTTTAACTTTACAGCAACACTTAAATTTTATTTATTAGTTAACAGTATCTTATATGATTTACAAAAAACATCATAAGAGTGGGTAATTCTGGTAACCCACAAGCATGATGACGTAGTCTTGTGTTGGTCACGTGGTTCACGAGTCTCGGAAAGAAATACCAGGCGGAGTATCTTATTATACCATGCACGAAACTGCATTTCATGAAAAAATACAGAATAACATCTTAATATATAAAACTCAAAAAAGACTGACTGATCATCAACGCACAGCCTAAACTACTGGACCGATCAGGCTGTAATTTGGCATGCAGATAGCCACTATGATGCAACCATCCGCTAAGAAAGGATTTTTCGAAATTCGACCCCTAAAGGGGTTAAACAGGGGATGAAAGTTTGTATGAAACTTTTTATTCCTTTGATATATTTGCTTCAAATTTTGTATATAGGTAGAACTTTAGAATGAATGAAGGACGTGTTTTTGATTTTTCCAATTATTAACCCCTGAGGGGGTAAGAAAGGGGATGAAAGTATTATATTTACGCGCAGGCCGCACCTTTGAAGCTACAGTTTTGAAATTTGGCATCCTTATACTTAATAAACAGTTGATTTTATTTTGATTTAGGAGTATTCAAAATTCATCCCCCGATGGGTTGGCAAAGGGGATGAAAATTACGTATTGTCGTAAAAACCAAACCCTTGGAACTAGAAGCGTGAAATTTGGCATGTGTATTTTTTAAGCAACGTAGGCCTAGGCATCCACTAAGAAAGGATTTTTTAAAATTCAACCCCTAAAGGGGTTAAACAGGGGATGAAAGTTTGTATAAAACTTTTTATTCCTTTGATATATTTGCTTCAATTTTTTTACATAGGTAGAACTTTAGAATTAATGAAGGACGTGTTTTAGATTTTTTCAATTATTAACCCCTGAGGGGGTAAGAAAGGGGATAAAAGTATTATATTTACGCGCAAGCCGCACCTTTGAAGCTACAGTTTTGAAATTTGGCACCCTTATTCTTAATAAACAGTTGATATTAATTTGATTTAGGAGTATTCAAAATTCATCCCCCGATGGGTTGACATAGGGGATGAAAATTACGCATTGTCGTAAAAACCAAACCCTTGGAGCTAGAAGCGTGAAATTCGGCATGTGTATTCTTTAAGCAACATAAGCAACCACTAAGAAAGGATTTTTTGAAGGGAGAGGGAGAGGGAGAGGGAGAGGGAGAGGGAGAGGGAGAGGGAGAGGGAGAGGGAGAGGGAGAGGGAGAGGGAGAGGGAGAGGAGAGTGCGAGGGAGAGGAGAGGAGAGGGTGAGGGAGAGGGAGAGGAGAGGGAGAGGGAGAGGAGAGGGAGAGGGAGAGGGAGAGGGAGGGAGAGGAGAGGGAGAGGGAGAGGAGAGGAGAGGGAGAGGGAGAGGGAGGGAGAGGAGGGAGAGGGAGAGGGAGAGGGAGAGGGAGAGGGAGAGCGAGAGGGAGAGGGAGAGGGAGAGGGAGAGGGAGAGGGAGAGGGAGAGGGAGAGGGAGATAGAGGGAGAGGGAGAGGGAGAGAAGAGGGAGAGGGAGAGGGAGAGGAGAGGGAGAGGAGAGGAGGGAGAGGGAGAGGGAGAGGGAGAGGGAGAGGGAGAGGGAGAGGGAGAGGTAGAGGGAGAGGGAGAGGGAGAGGGAGAGGGAGAGGGAGGTTGCCCCACTGCGCCACATCATCCGTCTTTTAGAATACTACATAACGTGTTTCAGCGTTTTATTTATATTCAATTCAACCCTAAAGGGAAAGGGGATAAGATGTTTGTATTTAAGTGCAACAAATCATAAAGCGCATAATACTTAGGTATATTTGTTATTTTTTATGAGTACGCGGGCGAAGCCGCGGGTTTAAGCTAGTGATGGTATAAAATGAAGTCGCTTTTTGTGTTTCTCTGTTATGGACGACGACGCTAGCTGCTTCTAAGCCACACAACGTATTTTGATGCGGGGTTTTTAACAGGTAGAGTGATAGATACACGTTTTAATGTATAAGTAATTAATACATTCCGGAAAAAAGTTTGGTTGGAGAGGTTTTGCTGGCACTCCCCTAATTCCACCTAAACTAAACGTCTTATTCCCACAGAAAACTGTTAGCAGCGGGAACAACCGCAGGGCGGGCCGTTAGTTCTTTATATTTACTTACTTTACTTATCTATAATGAATCGAAATAAGCAAAGTTAAATTTAAAATTAGGTTAAAAAAGAACAGGATAGCCCATGAAATTGAACCACATTCCATAAAAAACATAAGCCTAAATATGAATAAACGTATCTGATCTATAATGAATGATCAGATCAGAGATGATGAGTTATCAAGTGATGGTGTTGCATTATGAGTGCGTTATGTAAAGATTGATTTTGATTAAGTCATTCTGACCTGTTAACTAATACGTTTGCTTTGTGATAAACTTTTCTTTAGGTGCATAGGTACCTCAACTATCTTCCATACTTGATATCGCCTTTAATCTAAACCCTGACCTAAGTCGTAAGTATTAGGTAGGTATAAAATAAATGTTTTCACTGCACGTGATTATATCCGCTATGTCATGGTAAACAAGCAGACATAAATACAGTACCTACCTACACGCGTTATTGCGTTGCGTAACACAGGCACATGATTAAGGGGATCCTACATTTGAAAAAAGCATCCTATTTTCAATAGGCGAAATCTTAGGCGCTAGCTCCACAGAGTAGACGCGAGACGTGAGACGTAAGATAGGATTTGTCAAACAAGTGATCGTCGGACTCGTAAGACGTGCGACATCGTGAAGCTTGAAACAGAAGAACCAAATCTAAACACATGAGACGCGCGTCCGACAGATGTCATGTTGCGCCTCGCGTCGCGCCCCGCGGCGAGCCCCTTAGAATAATGGCACAGTGTTGCTTGTAGATGCCAGGATTGTGTGATGGGTGATCTCAAGGTACTACGCCTCCCTGCCCTGCAATCATCCTGGGTTCAAGCGACGGTGTCGATCATCAAGAAAACAAGCATCAAGAGATTGAAAATTTGGGATGCATTGACCAGTGCATCGATAGTTAAGTGACAGAACGGTGGGGCGTTGAACCATGTGACCCGGGTTCGAGCCCCGGTCAATGCATGACATTTTTTAATTTTCTTTAGTTCATTTATGGGTATAAAACGGCTTGTTTACCAATGTAATCCATGTACTAAAGACGTAATTTATCCATTACAGGGGGCTCCCGTAGCGGCAGTGCGTTGGCGCCTCCTGCGACGGCGTCAAGCCGGTCCAGCGCGGCCCGCGGCGACAGCGCACAAACCAACCAGTATACGTGAGTTGTTGTTCCTGTACCTACATAGGTACATACAACACGGCTACAGTAGGTACGCGAACGAGTTCATGTCCATCCTCAAATATGCGCATCCTTGTCGCACACGCCAGTACCACTGCGAGAATGACAAAGAGGCGCATATTTCAGGTTGGCCATGAACTCGTTCGCGTACTGAAATATGTGGTGAATTTTTACTAGCGACCGATAGCGAAAACAGAACCGGCTAGTGATAACTGATAAGGATAGGTAACTAACAACTTTCCCCGAGGAAAATTGGTCGAAATATGAAAAAATACTACCTAAAATCAGCTGACCGGCAATTTTGTTTGGGAGGTCCATTTTTTTAAAACCTATTTCTACCTAAGTTCCTTGGGGAAAGTTGTACCTTATTACCAGCCGATTCAGAGTTTGAGCTATCGGTCACTAGTAAAATTTCACCCGATTTGATATTGACATATTTTATGTCATAAGAAAACAATTAATCCATCCATCTTTCATCCATTTACCAGCTCGGTGGACGTCGCTGTATAGCGGATTCTTTTACGATTATGTTAGTGTTCATTTTCATGACGCTACAGCTACAAGTGTTGGAAATAGATTACCTACTTACCTACTTACATGTCTATGATATGATAGGAAACCTGTAGCTTGTTAGAAATCTTTTATCAATCGTATCTACTAGATGATGTAACTATTAAACAGTTTTTAATCATAAAAGTGTTGTGTTATTGTTTAAAACAACGCTTTCGAAGAAATTGAGGTCTTTCGGGGTTATCAAGTTCGGTGAGCGTCAAGTTCAATGCGCAATCTTCGTTAAATTCTTATCATTGTGATAAAATGGTGATAATGATAAGAATATATGGCGCCAGTAAAAAAAAATTAATCGTTTAAAATCACTGAATAAACATGCTTCTATTTACAGTTGTCTTAAAACTAGCTTTTCGCCCCGGCCCGGTTTAGAATTTTGATTTTGAATTAGAATATTTTGACTCTACCTGCATCGGCGAGTAGCAAATACTGCGAAATAGTTTGGTTCTCTCGTTTCATATTTCTATTTGTGAAAACGTGTACCTACTTGGCTATTTGCTTTTATTGGTTTTCAACTGTTAGTTGTCCCTAAATTTTATATCGGACACGCTTTCCATTTTTATATTATTGATAGTACGGCTTAGAAAGCGTGAGTCAGCGTCATTCACTTATTTACAAAGGTACACTTGCGTACGTTTTTATTTTAGGACTAGGCCAAAAAGAGACAGACAACAAAAAAAGTAGTGCGCGGTTGGATTAGAATATTGGGTCACTATGTTTTCGTGGGCCCTTTGAACCCTGTCATCGGAAGCGGCAGACGCGACCCATTTAAAATGCAAGTTAAGTCGCAACATACAGCGTAACTGCGCACTAGACAGACATATCCTACGCAATAATCCACAGCCCGTGCCACGAAAAGAGTCTACCAGATATACAGACAGAATACTACTCAACGCTCTTTGTCACTTGACATTCTTGGGTTCATTACAAAAGCAATTTCAGTTACCTATTTCTTTTCTTGGAATACTATGTGGCACGGCCTCTAGCAGCGTCACAACTATTTTACAGTTGAAACTATTTCATTCATTAATTCATTCAACTTCGTGATTTATTCATTAGCTATTGTCGGGAATATGCGCAATAGAAATTAGACGCAGAACGCTCTCGATTCTGGAAGAACATTTATCTAGTAAAATCTTAGCTTGACGGAACATCCACTTGTGGAAAAGTGACAGCTGCAGACTTTTCGTCCCTTTTCTTTAATTTGTTTAGCTTCTCGTGTGTTATGATTATGACAGTTATCAAATCAGTGTTAACAATACATTAGACGTCCGCCTGCCGGCACTGATACAAGAGTTTAGCATTAGTTATAAACTGCTTGTTTGATTTTATTAAAATAACCTGATCTCAATAAAATTACCTAATAAAAGAATTAAATCGATGTCATCATATTGTGCTACTACACATTTTTATAAGAATTGTCCTGACAGAATCGAGGCAGCTACGTTTGTTCAAAAACTGATAAAAATAGCCAAGGAAGTTTCTTGAAGTGATGGAAGTACAATCGAGGTCTTACTCTAATTTATTTTTGCTTATGCTTGCTTTTTTATTCTAGATACGGCGAACCGATCAATCAAGATAGCATGCAGACGAGTCGGTCGGTGCGTCGCCCTGCCAGTAGAAAGAAGAATGTTGATGATGAGGACCTGCCCTTGCCTCCTGAATGAACTAAATTATTTCAGGGTTGAAGTGCTCAGTAGTCAGGCTAATACTTGTTTAGTTTAGCTAATATTATTAGCACACCGGTTACTGACCAAGGATAGGCTGATATAGGTATAAATGATACCACACATACTTCAACGATCCGAGTGGTAAGACCACTCATGCAGACTTTACCATGCGAAATCGTTTCAAAAATACACCTCCAATTTTCTTAGTGTTGCACACATAATCTTGTAAGGTTGCTAAGATAAGCCTTGACCTGTGTTCATTTTTATGTCCATCAATAAACATTTTGTACATGTTTGTACCAAGTGAAAAATATTTAGTTTTATTTAAATAAGCATTATATTATAATATAACCAGCGAACTATCACATTATTATACCTTGTTCGCTGATTATAATAAATAAACTTAACTTCACTGATTAGAAACCTTCCATTGTACTTGTTTTAACAATAACAATTTTACCAACGAGGTCAATCGTTATTTTGATTGGAATATTTACAACTTCACAAGGTGAATAAGTGATTATTTTGATACGATGGGTATTAGAATAGTGGAGAGAAACAACAGAAAAGCAGTAAAATGTACATTTTATTTTACAAATTATATTACATTTATACAGATTCTTAGACTAGAAAAAAAGGCACTCAAAACGCTGAGAGTAAGTTCACATATTTGCGCTTCTGACCAGTGCCCGATATAATTTAATTACAAGTTACAAGTTTACAGGCAAAATTCGGTGTACATTGCGCAACGGATTAGCCATTATCCATTATGTATGACAAATGTTTCAGCCTCTTGGCGCTTTACGTATTGTCGACCCATGTAGGAAAGAGGAAAGACAGAGAAGTAATATAATATGCCACGCTATACTCAACATCATGTTCTTATAATGTCATAACCACTCATTTGGATTTACAGCCATAAAAAAAGTTCCCGATAAATTGAGAACCTTCTTCGTTTGTTTCTTCGTCGGTTAAAAATACGAAAATTCACTAAACTATTTTTAAAATAAGAATAGTTGTGAACTTTTTTTATCTAGATGGCTTTGTTATTGGAGTTTATTCTTCAGCTGAAACGTGGCCAAAAATGGATCTAATTCCCCTAAGAATTACCCCCACACTTGGTGCTAAAATCCAATAGAAGGATAGTGGCAAGCCAGCAGTTTTGTATGAATAAATAAATTGAAACGATTTCATAATTAATCTGTTTCACGTGAACTTCATACCACTAGCACACTAAAGTATCAAAATTCGTCAAACCTTATCTGCATAGATAAGGTGCCTTATTTATAATTACTTACTTTACAGCTGCGCAGAAAATAGGAGTAAGTAGTTGATAGTTCGACTAATATAATAGCAAGTGTACGTTGCTATGGCAGTAACAAATACAGAGTGTTTGGAAAAGTAGTGCGTTCCTTTAGACCACGAGTTTTGTATGTAGGTAAAATTAGTAAAGTGTCTTCAACACGTTAAAAAAAATATTGTTTAAAACAACTTTTAATAATATGTTCAACCCTCATTATGAGCGCGACATAGCGCATCGTTGAACAGTTTCATAAAACGTTTAAAAAAATGTCGTATTCTTCTAATATTTTTTATAAAATGTTTGAACACATACTTTATTATACCTATAAAATGCGTGGTTTGAAGAAACGTAGTACTTTTCCTAACACCCTGTATAAACATTTTGTAAACCTACTCGCGCTTTCTATCACGTTTAATTTAATATCACATTCTTTATCATTAATATTCATTCATACAATACATAACAACATGGATTATATGTAATTCGGTCGCTAAGGTTTTTATCAGACGGTTGTTTATCATTATGACAGCCGATGTGGCGCAGTGGTTAGTATGCCTGCCTGCCACGCAAAGGTTCCGGGTTCAATTCCCGGTGGGGTCACTCACAAACTTGATATTTATCACTTTGTGAATTTGTTCCTAGTCTGGTTAGGACATTGCAGGCTGAACCACCTGATTGTCCGCAAGTAAGATGGTTCCGTGCTTCGGATGGGCACGTTAAGCCGTCGGTCCCGGTTGCTGTCTATGATGGCGGTCGTTACACAACCATGTCAGAGGCCTGCTACTTGCAGTAGGCGGTTGAAAAACTCTGACACCAGGGTTCATCGGGTCGTTGAACGATTCGGTGTCCCACACGAAAAAAAAAAAAAGGGCTTTTCTATTTTATGTAGGTTTCCTTTTAGCTCGAAAGAAGTGCCATACTTTTCCACAGTATGTATTTAGATGGCAGCAATTCGGGAAATTAATCCTCTTATCTTAAATTAGCGCTGTCTCTTTCCACCTAATAGATTTAGAAGAAGATAGGAGATATCTAAGTGCTGTCATGTTTAAGTATGTTAATGGGTACTTCGGCATTTCTAGTTAATTTAGTCGCCATTCTTTTCACCGTCGCTTTATTTTGACATTATAAGCATGACATGACTTAGATATTTTCTATCTCTTTCTAAACCTGTTTTTGATGTTATGTGACAGCGCTAATTTTAGTTTGACGAATTTATTTCCCAAATATTAAGTTGACTACAAACACG